GATAAAATAGCCTGCAAAGTTTGTTTTAAAAACTGATCTGAGGTAATAAAAAGACTCGACAGAACTAAATCTTCCACTGTACTTAATAAATATATATGTGAACACCTAACGCCTCGGGTGAGCTATTTTTTCCCCCATTAGTATTTAAGACAGAGAAAAGATCACTGAAACGTGTAACCTTTACAAAACCAAAATCAGATCTGGTAGCTGATGTAGTAATAGGGATGTGCAGGGGTTACTGTTTCTTTATTCTTCCTTCCTAGGGCAGCTCAGGTGAAAGGGTGAGGGAGGAGGGATCCAGAAGAAAAGGCCGGAGAGGATAGGTTCGGGTCACCTGACTCCCAAATGGAAATTTGGCAGTTCCTAACAGCCTCAAGCCCCTTCTCCCTACTCCCATCACTCTAGAAAGAGGGGGTAGGCTTCATTTACCCAGTGGGAGATGGGAATTGGCAGACATGAGCTGACCCCTACACGGAAGAGCTTACAGCAGCATGGTAGGGATAGAAATGGAGATCCTGCAAAGGCGGCTCCACGCTGTTGCATTAAGTAACACTTAACAAATCTCCTAGCCAAGTCCCCGGCTCCTGAGAGACATGTGGGAAGGGGACGCTTTGGGCAGTGTTCAGGGAGAGAAGGCACAGGGCTTAACTGTGCAGTACTGAGCACATTCTGGAGGGGGCTTGAGTGGGGTGTGCAAGAGGGAGGGTGGAAGGAGGGGAGCTTTTCAGGGTGGGTCTTTTACTCCTTTAAGTCGGGAGAGCGTCAGTGAAGCCTCCCACTTTGGATACATGTTTTCAGAATCAGAATATTTGAGAAAGGCTGGGGCCTTTTCAGAGACTGATGTTGGCGGACATGGCAAAGAGTAGAATTAGAAACTAAAGGGTCCGTCAAAGCTGGTCCCCAGCCACCTAAGCTCAAGGTTTCTGGTTTCTGAGAGGAAGGTTTGCTCAGATGCTGCTGCAATGGCACTTTGGCCTCTCCCAAGGCTTCTCAATACTCACTCTCCCAACAATCAGGTCCTGCCCTGGAAGAGCCTTGGTGGATGGCTTTGAAAGCAGTAGTGGTCACCCCGAGAAGGACTCCACCGAGTTGACTTTGATGGTCTGTTTTCCAAGTCCAGTTAGGAGGCAAGGTCATTCTTAATTCATTCCTTTGCCACCACTTTAGGAACAGGAGAAAGCTCAGGCTTCAGGTAAAAACTACAAACCGCATATATGCAAGCTTCACGTCAATGCTGATCTCCTCGGCACTTAGAAACTACACACACCTGACAAGGTGGCAGTTTAGAAGTAGATAACCTGGCAACAACAGGAATATATTTTTACCAGCTCTCAATTGCTTCCAAAGGACCCTGTTAGCAAAGGAACCTATCTGCCTCTAGAACTAAATCAAGGGCTCCACTGGGGCCAGAAGGGAGAATATAGGTCAAAGTCGACTTAACTCATCCATGTCCTTTCCATTTTCTAGTCATCACAACTTAAAAAAAAAAAAATTAGTGAAGCTAAGGAAGACAATGGTCACAAAAGACCAAGAGACCATGGGGAGGCTTGACTGGAAGGGCAGAAAGAGGTAAAGGGCTTTAGGTATAAGTTTTCAAAATGGAAAAATTGTTTTAAAACAATCACTCTATAGGCTGATTCTGTACCTTCCATTCTTACCTCAACACATTTCATTTGAGGATATTTGTCACTCTGAACTTTTAACTGAACTTGTAAACAGCACAGACTCATAGGGTAAAAATCCAGAAGTGAGGAGATGGCTGACACAGGTATGAATACTGGTGAGAATTTGGGTTGGGGTAAATGCCAAAAGGATTCTTGTCATTTCTTTAAAAATGACAACTGATACAGGCAAGGAGTAGATCTACCATTCATTACTTGCCTGGGGTCTAACTGGGTCCTGCTACAAACCCCAACTCAGGTTTCAGCTGAAGTCCTCGTAGGTCTGTGCTCTTGCCTCTTCATGGCCAGGTGGGGGTTCACACATACTTGGGAGCAGCTGACCTGACAGTGAAAAGTCCCATCATCCCCTTAGTGACGGGGTAGATGAAAAGGGAAATAGGGAAAGCAGGAATTGGAGTCAGAGAATGAAGTTCAAACTGATGTCTCCAGGCTGTGTAGAGGGCTGTCTGAGTGGCAGGCAACAATATGCACTTGGCAGCAATCCACTGCATTGTTGTTTTTGTTGGCTTGTGGAGTGACCTCACCATCCGATGGGAGCATCCTAGTCCCAGGCTTAGAGACCTTTTCAAAAGTTTCCTCTTCTTGTTCATCCAGGAGTGGTGTTCGTGGCCCCTCCTCATCTATGGCGAATTCAGGGTGGGTCATGAAGTTGTGGATGGAGTTTTGGTTCTTGGGTTTCTGAATGCTTTCATGGAGGGAACTATGGAATGCTCTGACCACTTTGATCTATACCAGGGGAAGGAAAAGGAGGATGAGAAAATACGGAGGCAAGAATTAGTTAGTAGAACAAGGAACTGGGGGGTTTGAGGACAGAAACAAAACCCAAACTACAAGACACTACTGCTCAACAACCAAAACCAAACGTATGAGAGGAGATCATGAAACACTAGAAACATCACGTGGCTCAAATTTCAAGCACTGAGGTGGGGTGGGGAGAGTGAGTAATGGCAAACAACTGGAATATTTCAAAAGCTGCATAAAAACAAAGCAGAAAACCCAAAGCAGAGTTAGCATTCCCAAACAATCCACTCTTAAAATGAAACAGGAAACAAAAAGATTCATTAGTTCTTTTGGATGGAGGGCAAGGACGTTGGAACTAGGTGCAAATTAATAGCCGAACTTAAAAGATAATTCAGACATGTGGATTTTTGTGTTGAAGCCAAACATTTTGTGAATGTGGAATGGAAAATTACACACTGAAGTTTAGTTACCTGTTTAAAACCCTCAAAGAGCCAAACACATATCAATTCGCACGCAATACACTTTGGGTGATAAGTGACCATGAATACCATTCAGCAAGGCAGACAAACCAATCTTCATTTGTGTCAGCAGCATGCAAGAAATGAAAACTCTTATACTCTCCAATTTAATAATTGCTCTTTCAGTCAGGAAACATGCATATATTTATATTCCACAGCCTCCACCATGTCCTCTTCCCCCAAAGAAAGCAGAACTCCGTTCCTTCAGTCCCTCCCCTGGAAGAGGTGAATGAATGCAGGCATCAAAAGATGCCTCCCCCTGACGCTGACAGAAGGCCCGCTCTCTCAGCTCAGATGAGGCCGGACACGCATGGCCATGTCTCTGACACACAGCAGCTGTGCCCAGTCGTGCAGCTTTCTCCAGCTGTTTGTAAATTATGAAGAGGAATGTGATCTTATGTGGAGAAGGGAAAGGATGGGACCAGGACAGAAAACACCCCATCCAGGAGGCAGTGCTACAAACAAGAGGCTTTTCTGATGGGGTGGACCAAGAGGATGGGGGAAAGGAAACAATTTGCAGTTTGACTGGGCAAAGGGAAATGCACTGCCCTGTAAGTGTCAAAGTCTTTGTTCTACTGCACAACAAAGGAAGGGATTCAGTTTAGAGAAGAGGAAAAATTGACGATAATTGATCCCTGGGCCCAGCCTTCACCTTATCCACAGGGAGCAGCTCCTTTTCTGAACTGGGGGCCTCGCTGAGGTATGCTTTGCAACTTGGGTTGGTAGAATTGGAGGAGGGGAGAAGGTTGGATCCTGAGAGTTTGGAGAGAGAGGCCAGGGGAAAAGAAAGTGGTCCTAGGACAGTTTTAGTTGTTGGGAGGTGGCTGATCCTAGTCGTGTCCCAAAGTTCTTTCCTCAGAAAGGAAATGGAAGTAATGCAGGAGAAATTTTTGAGGTGGGGAGGGGGATAAGGAGAAATGATGAGGGTTGGGGTAGGGCACATCTTTCGTTACTCTGCTCTTTAAGCAAAGAATATGTTCTTGGAAAAGAGGCAAGAATGTGGAGACATCAGAGCACCCGAAGAGGCAGGCAAATAAACTGGTTGGATTGCTTGTCTCAGTGTTTCCTATCACTGTACAGAACCTACAAAAGTAATGCACAAAGAAGGTTCATTAAAGTTGTGTCTCCACTGGCTAAGGCTTTCCTTACCTTGCCTCACTCCACAACAGACTGGCAGACTCACCCAGGATGGAGGGTGCTCAGAGCTCAGAAGGCAAAGGACTCTGTCACTCAATGGAATCCGCTCAACGCTTCAGCCAAGAAGAATCAAGGAACCTGGGCACACATTCACCATGCTGCACAGAAAGTTAGGACCTACTTTTCTATCTTTAGGTGAGATCAGATGGAATATAGGTTCCATCTGGCTTTCAGGAAATCCCAAGTTTTAATGGATCTATGTCAAACATCTTAGAGCAAGGCAACTTGGATTAAGTGAGCCCAAACCCAATGCCTTCTCCCCTGGCCCTAGTCAAGAAATGGGCTCAAAGCCATACCACCCCCTGTAGGAATGATAATATAGCCCACACTTTTCACTCACTCTTCAGATCTCAACATTTCTAACAAGTGCTACAGGAGAACAGGTACCTTTATACCATGAGTTGATCATCTTCAATATCAGTGATTTCCAAACTTCCTGCTTCTATTTTTTTTGAAGCAATTGAATACTTTGTTAAAATAATGATATGTGAAGTCCTATCTAGAAAACAGATTTTTAAAAATAGGAGTTGGAATGGGGGTCTGGATCCCTGTTTTCTGGCTTTTCCTCTCACCTGTTGGGGTGATCAATCACTGTTACAGGTAAACAGTAAGGGAGATCAGAGTGAATTGGGGATGGGTAGATGGAAAAGATAGGGACAATTTCTTTTTTGGGGGAGCAAGGAACAGTCATCCAGCTAGATAACAGGACTTCTGGAATCTAAAGGGAAAGCAGCCACCTGTAAGAGAAGCTCAAGACAAGAGGATTCAGAGAGCTGAGGAGCACCATCTTGTGGCCTGGCAGGTGGAGAGAAGGGTGGGGCTGTGCCAGAATGCTCCTCAACTCCAACACTGGCCTCAGAGACTATACAGTATGTGCCGATGAACAATCACACAGCTACATCATCACCAATCCACCCCAAGTGGTGGCATCTTCCTTTCTTGATCCATGGTGCCTGGTGCATGAGCAGTGTACAGGGAATAAGACACAGATAGTGAGGCGGGTGCTGTGAAAGCTTCAGGTCCTCTCCACTCAGTCAATCAACCCTTCCTTCCCCAGTCATCATCTCTCAAAGTCTCTGGGAAATGTCTCTTCTGTGGCCCCTATCCTACCGGTGAAAGTGGATGACTGAAGGACAACCCTTTCTCATGGCTCAGAAGCCCAAACCAGGCTGGACCTTAGGTTAGGTATGAGCACTAAGGGCCACTCTCTGGAGCTCAATGAATGGGCAGATGAAGACTCCATTTCCTCAGCTGGTATTCTGTAGGTTTCTGCTCCTTTGTCAGAAACCAGGGGAAGAGAAGGGATTAGGATCTTCTTACAGAGAGAAATCTTAGAGGTTTATCTACTTGAAGATTAGATAAATAAATGAATTCATTTGGAACTCTGGAATGGGAAATGGCTTTTAAAATGCATGACTATAAGTTCTAGGCCCTCCAATAGGAAGGCACAGCTGGAGAAAGAGCAGGTGTGGCCTGACTCTCCTGAGTTTCTAGTCTTTGAGGGTTTGCACCATATCCTCCACTAGCAACTCTACTACATGAGCCCAGTGGGCTCTGTCTTTTCCTTAGTCTCCTTCTACCTTCAAATTACCAGGGCAGCTGACACTACCCCTCCTAACAGAGAGGCATGATTTAAAAAAGAACAGTAACTAGTTAGAAGGACATGACAAAACTAGAAGAAAAAAGGAAATGAGAGGAATATGGAAGGACTAGAATGAGAGGCTCTTGCATATTTGTAGGGTAAGACTTACTTAGTTCTTTGACTGCCTTTGAGGCTAAAGAATATGCATCTATATAAACCTCCTCTCCCCCTGCCCCTCATCTCTCACACGAGGACACTTAGAGTTGGCTGGAAAGACAACAGATATGCTAAGTCTGATCAACCTACACACTCACATCAAGTGAACCACAGATACTGCAATTGTTCTTTCTTTATCCCCCATCCCAGGGTTACGGTGGTGGTGATTGGGAGTGGGGGGAGGAAGAAACAGACTAAAACACTCAGATATTTGAAGCCCAGAGTATACTTAACACAGAGAGACTCCTTCCCCACCAAATACCTTAATAGCGTTATCAGCAAAGAGCCTTCCATTTCCTCTCTGTGTCCCACTTGGGGAAGGTAAAAAGATCAGGAATAGGAAGGCATAAGCATTAGCAAGAATCCAATAATCTACCAATAATCCACCAGATCTTAGGTTGAGCCTTCACAGCTTTCCAGTTGATAGGCTGGCTGAGAAAGGGGTTCCTAAAACTTAACATGCAAAATAAGATATGAAGTGCTGGCTACAAGCAAAACAGACTAGAGGAAAGGAGAAGGAAAAAAAAAAGTTTGCTCTTCAGAAATTCCTAAAGAAAACAAAAGACTTCCTGAGTCTTCATTTGGCTTAACCTTACACCTAACCTTAGGAGACAGAGTTGAGACTCAAAGGAGAAGGAGAGAAAAGGAACAACACATTCAAACAAAGCAACAAACAAACAAAGTAAAGAAAAACAAACAAACAAACAAAACTCAAGGAAGGACCAGGCAATGCAGAGGAACAATCAGAAAACAGGATTACTGTCTTTAAAATGGTTACGGCTTAAGAGCTTTTCAACATTAAAAAAAATAATAATAAAATTAAATAAAATGGCACACAGCCCAGTTTTGGAGTGGAATTTTTGCCCCGCTTTTCTTTCCTTAAGTCAAAGATCAAAGGGAAAAACCCAAAGGAAAAGATAACCACAGCTGGTTAAAGTGAATGCCACGTGCTCTCTTGTGGTCATTTTAGCAAATCATGCATCATTATAGACTATCACTCACTGCCCAGAGTAGGAGATGAAACAGCAGCAGCAACGGAAGTGGTGGGGGGAGATTTGACTGGTGCAACTGTTACATAGGATGAGCTAGGAACATGTTTTACATCAAGGTGTTGACCCATGGTCTGGCGCTTTAGGACTCCCTTAAAAGAGGCTCCCGTCTGGAATGTGTTAATTACGTCGATCTGCAAAGAATCAGAAAGTGAGACAGCTTTGCTCCACAGTCAGAAAGAAGTGAAGAGAGGAAGGGGCGGGGGGGTCCAAGAGGGTTAGGGAGGGGGATGGAAAGAGCTGGGAAAAAGGGACAGGAGACGGAAAGCAAGAGAGAGAGTCCCTTACACACAAAACAATGGTGAAGAGAAGGGGGAAAAACATTAATTGCACATCACACTTCATTTAAGGAACAATTTGCCATGGAGTCTAAATACCCAGCCAGAATCCAGTCTTCTCTTCCTTTTTAGCCTATGATGGACATTTTAGGTGTGCTGGTATTCAAAAGTATCTAAAAATTTAAATGGACTTTCCCACTCATGATTTCTGACAGAGAGTGACAGCTTATTCTCTGTCTTATGCTCTGACCTGTACTTTCTTTTTTTTTTTTTGACCTGCACTCTTAAAAAAATAAGGCATGCAATTTAAGATAGTAGGCAAAGTGTATATATTACTGAATTTTGAGGCTCAGGAACCTCTAAACCAATTAAATTGACTACCTATTTTTGCAGATTTTCCAGGAAAACAACTCATGTGTTTAAACAGAGGCGTGTGGTAATCCATACACAGGTGCCATGGTGGAAAGGCTCCTGGACCATGAGTTGCTGGGCTCACCCTCTTCTGGGTTCTTCTCTGAGACTCCCTGTCCTTGGGCAGAAGTGGACAAGGCCCCTGAAAGTGGAGCTCAGGAACCCAGTGGCCAGGCTCTGTGGAGAGAATGCCACTGGCAGCATTCGCGCACTGGAGATCCTGAGAGGCTGGCACAAGTGCAGACGAGAACTCAGCAGTTAGACGGGGTGTGGGGAGGAAGAGTTGGCTGGCGGTGGTGGCAGCAGCTGCAAGTCTAGCCCCATACAAGTTGTCTCTGGTTTTCAGTGTCCTACTCCTCAGAGACTGAGGCAATGAATGCCATTTGTTTTCCAACAGCGGTCTTGATCTAGGGCCTCAGTCAAACCTACCATCCCCATCCCTGACCTCTGCCTGACCAAGGGCCAGTTGACCAGGGATGTAGGAAAGGTGCTGATTTCACTCATCTAACTTTACTTCCCCAGGTGAGAAGGTGGGAAAGCGGGTACCTTGTGAGTCAGACAGTGGTTCTTACTTATAAAGCTTCCTGAGAAGCCATGAAATGTTTAGGGCTAGTTTCTGGACTCAGACCAAGTTTGAGCTAAAATACCACTCTTCATCACATGATACTGTTTTCAGTTCCAGGGGACTGAGGAGCCTGATGCTGTAAGAGGAAAAGGTCTGCATGTGGGGAGGGTTCAGCCACATGGAAGAAGGGGCTGGAGAGTCACCTTCCTCAGTGCTTATTAGGGTCACAAGGTCCCAACCTCCACAATGAAACTGGCCCCCAGATTTACCTTCCCAAGATTCTAGACCTCAAGTTTCCCAACCTTCTGCTTTCTAGTGCTTTTAGCTCTCCCAAAGCTAAAGGGACCAGGATGGGACAATAGCCTGGCAACACTTCCCACCCATAAGTGTTGCAAGAATGACAACAAGGAACAACAATCGGATGGCAGGGAATTTCGTTAGAACCCAGCTGAGGTGAAGAGCTGATGCCAGGAGAGAGCTTTAGGATCCAGGATGCAGGTTAGCACAGTCATCTGCTTATGGAGTCAGGTGGGATGGCATAGATATGCTCATCATGGCATCTTTAACAGGTTGCCTTTGCTGCCTAAGTTTAGGCTTTAACGTCATTCTGGTCCAACCGCCTTTTGCTCCAACAGAGAAAGGTAGTATACCTAAAGCTATGTAGACAGCGAAACCAGAGAGGTATATAGTCGAGGGAATGGAAATTGGTAGTGGAGGGGAAGGAAGATCCATGAATCTCAGCCCCGGGAGAGAAGACTGGGAAGGAGCCAGGAGACACTGGAACGAGGGCATTCTGGCTAGGAAAAAAATTACATAGTAGAAGAGGAGGCAGATGATCCTGAAGGGAAGAAAAGCAGACAGGTTATTCTGAAAAGAGCAGACCTACAGGGAAGCACCGAGGCCTTAGAGACATGAGCCAAAGATGCCAAGTTCTCCGGGCACGTGAGGCCCTTGCTCATGATGGACTTGGCAGCCTGGAGGGTGGGGTGCGTGTGGAAACTCTGGACATGCTGAGGCAGTGTTTGCAGGTCCCATGCGGATTTCCCTCTCTGGGAAGGGGAACTCAAGAGGAGCCCCAGTGTGCTTCCCTCCCTAGCCCTGCTTTCCCATTTCCATCTGTTGTCTTGTCTATAGGAGACAAATGCCCAGCTGCTACAGTAGTCCTCCCTTATCCATGGGGGATATGTTCCAAGACCCGCAGTGGATGCTTGAAACTGTGGATAGTGCTGAACCCTGTATATACTATGTTTTTTCCTAGAGTAATGGGTGGGTAGCTTATACAGCGAGGATGTGATAGGCAATGGGATGACTTATGTCCAGGGCAGGACAGAGTGGGGGGCATGAGATTTCATCAGCTACTCAGAACGGCATGCAATTTAAAACTTATGAGTTATTTATTTCTGGAATTTTTCATTTAATACTTTCAGACTGTGGTTGACCACGGGTAACTAAAACCAAGGAAAGCAAAGCCACGGATAAGCGGGGGGCTATTGTATTTAGCTTAGAGTATTCATTTCACCTCTTCCCTAGGAAGTGGTGGGATCCACTAGGGAGCTTTTGAAACCATCTGCAAGGCTAATTTCAGAGAGTGAAATTTACTTCTGGGATCTCTAGCCAATCAGCAAAGAGGGATAGGCCTGTTCTCTGGTGAACACCTTTGAGAACCTGGGGATTTACAATTTCTTGAGATGGGAAATCTCAGGACTAACACAATAGAGGTATGTGGGGTAAGAACAGGGAAAGTGATAGGATTATCAATGTTTAGACCAGCCCATTTACCCAGGAGAAGGTAGTTACAGTTGCTGCACAGGAAGTGGGGGGAAAAAGTTACTGTAGGGCTATAGGAGGGGACTTAATAGCAGCAGGAGCAGCTTCTATCCCATTTTAGAAATTGCAGGAAGGGAAAAGGTTTGAAGAAACTGTAGCTTCTTGCTTTCTGGGAAGCAAGTCTGAATCCTGTAAAAGATACTCAGGCACTGAGAGACTACTGTCGTTTATATACACTAGCCATCAGATTCCCCATCATGGCCTTAAATTTTGAGTGGGGAAGACATAAGAGAGCGAGTTTCTTTTACAAAGATCAATCCAGATAACACCTACATTCCCCTAATAGCAGCTTGAGGATATACAGTAAATGTCTGCTGGGGATGCTGGCATAGAGATATTGTCTAAATCCTTCCCTCTGCAGGGTCAGGAAAGACTGAACATTTCCCACCCTGAGGTTAGGCCTAGCGCTTACAAGAGACCTTATGCGGGAAGATGGCCCACCCGACAGAGGGTGGGAAGTGGGCTTCAGACGAACCCAAAGCTAGAGGATGCTGCTAGCAGTTAGTGTCCCGTGTTCTCGGCCCCCCAAGATCACTCTCCTCTCAGAGGAGCCCACACCACTGCCTCTGCCTGTCTGTCCTGAAGCAAGGGAGCTCGGGCTGCCCACCAGTGAAAGGGCCTTAGGAAGGGGAGAGATGTTGGCCAGCAGGAACTGCTGCCCTCCCAACACCTCCCAAGAAAGATGGGGGAGATTCCTTCTCCCAGGACAAGGATAGGCCACTATCACAGTACCTGAGTCTGGATGCGGTTCAGGCCCCGGAACCAGAGGATCTGGCCTCGGCGCAGCTCCATCTCTGCATGGTCAATCTCGTCCAGCCCCTCAGCATCTTTGGTGATCTCCTCTTTGGTGGTGCCATGCCCAGCCTCCTTTAGGAACTTCAGGGATTGGGTAGGTATTGTGGAGATGACCTGAGAACAGGTGCAGCAAAAGGGTAGACACCAGAATCAGGGCGAGAAGAGCTGTCACTCAACTTTATGGGTCAGGCCCTTGGGTAGGTCACTCTTTGCCCTATAAACCTTCCCACTGGGAAAGCAGTGGGAAAAGTGCCAACCCATTCAGGCAAGCGTTTTCCAAGTGCCTATCAGCTGTCAGGCCCTCAGGAAGATTTTCTGCATTTGTGGACATACAAAGGAGAACTTATATTCTAGTATTTGACCAGCCATCTGCCCTGGTATATACTTCATTCTCTTCCTCCTGTCTCAGTTCTTTCTTTGCATTTTGCCATCTGTCTCTTAAAGGAAGTAGAACCATAACGCATGATACACAGTAGGAAGAGACAGAGACAAGGACCTGGGAGAAAACAAGTCTGGACACAGGATGGTCAAAATGTATGTGTATGGGCAAGGGGAAAAGAAGGGTGCTGGAGGGGAAGGACCCTCTTCTTAGTTACCATATGCTAAGTAATTCCTCTTTTATAAAACTATAGTGAGAGGATACTAAAAGTTTTCTTGGGCTTGGGGTGAGGAACTGGGTGGGATAGCCCATAGAAGAAGGGACATATGAGTATTATCAGAAGACATGGAGCAGTAGGTTGGGGCTTGCAATTCAAAATAAATCACTCTATAAGCCGTCAGTCAGTTCTCCTTTACAAATAAGACAAGGGCTCAGCTGGGAAAGGGGGACTGTGTGAGCAGTCCAACATGGAGTCAAGTGTTTGAAATAGAAAGAATGTCCACGTTCTGCTTTTAGATGTTAGAAGGAGCTGTTGTGATACAGAAGGAAGGCTGTTGTTACCTGGCATCACGGCCACATGGTCACATGTGAGACTAGACCCAGGTGAGAGTTTCAAACAGTACGTGAAATAATCAAGCGCCACCCCAGTGTAGAAGTGCTTTAGGGACCCACTGGTAAATAAACTTCAGCAAACAGAGCAGGGTGGAAGGACTTGTGTTAGGAACGGGGATAGGGATTAATCAGGGAGGCATCTAGGAGCTATGAAAGAAACAACTAGCAGGTCTATGGGGGAAAGCCTGCAGCCCTAGAGAGGGATCTTTGGGGCCAGTTAGAGCAAAGCCTCCATTACCCAGGTGGCTGGGCACCAATCAGTAGAGACCTGGGGTCTGCAAGCAGAGGTAAAGGCCAGGCCAGAGCTGAGGATGCAAAGTGGTATTAGGGAAGGAATGAAACTCTTATCAAACCTGATTATATTATTATAATATTAATAGCTAACATTTATTGAGTACTTACAAGGTACTAGACATTGTTCTAAGTCATTTCTGTATTGAAACTGATTTGCTGATTAACAATGATTCACAATGATCCTGTTATCCGGAGTTGAGGAAACTGAGGCAGAGTTGCTAATAAACTCGCTCACTATGATGCAGCTTGTAAAAAGAAGAACTGGGATTCAAACCTAGATAGTCGGTTCCAAAGTCTGTGCTTTGAACCATATGCTATACTGCTTCTCTAGAGACCTTGTGAGTCTGGATTTATCTTAGATGACAGTCAGGCACCCATCCTGGATAAGGCAATGGTGAGAAACAGAAGAGGCAAGGGAGCCCTACATTATGACAGCACAGCAGCTCACGGCCAGACTGCGGCTTCATTGAAGACATATACTTTGCAAACTCTTCTACTTCTAAGACCCTTAATTTATTTTTTAGCAAAATTCCATTGAAAACTTCCACTTCCATCTCAGAGAAGCTAAGGGATTTGTCTGTCTTCAGGCATGATTAGAGAAGAGATCAGAAGCCTCTGAAGTGGTGGGCACTGATCATTCTGCTTTGGGTTCCTACAAGATGGAAAGAACTTGAAAACCTGGTGGTAGAGAGAAGAGGGGAGAATATGAAGGCGAGGAGCTGGGCGTCTCCAGAGCTGCTCGTTCCATCTCATCTGGCGGGGGGGGGGGGCGG